TAAGTTGTGGCGTTATTATTAGGCCTATACATACGATTGTTAACAACCGGTTCGTGGAGGTCATTAAATTCTAAGAACAGGTTCGCACGAACCGGTGCGAAACGGCTGAATCCCACCACTGCCCACAACCCCCACAATTACGGGAGGAGCCAAAAGTGGGTCTGAAGGTCTTGAAAAACTGACAATTGCCGACAGGGGAAATATGTAGAAAAACCCAATTTCTTTTTATGGAGAGAGGGCCATCTTTCGTAGTTACACTACTGTGCATAGTTTCTATATAGACAACGAGGTGAATTTCTCTATATATGCACATTTGTCTATATACGTTATCAACATATGGAATATATTTGTTTTTTTTTAAATTCCGCGATTTAATCAGAAACATGCAAGTAAAGCCTTACTTTTTATCTTAGCTACTATCGCGATTAATTGAGAAATATTTATCATTGAGAAATACTCACTCTGTACATTTAGCTAGTTGCTGCACTCTCTCTCTTGAATTAGAATAATTATCAGCCAGACTAAAACTTTTGTATCGGGGGGGGGGGGAGCATCAGTTTGATATAATTGAAAATTCCCTCACCATATTGTAATTAGGTATTTTCAATTTCAATAGAGTATTGTTTTGCAAGCGTGCAACGGTTTGTATACCCAGTATGTTTTAATACCTCCATTGAAAAATACGTTTACGAAAGTGTATGTTCGCAACTCTCATAATGATTACCTATAATTCACTTAGCATTTTCCAATTTATAAGTTCTGTATGGCTTTCACACTCCCATCTATCGAGTAAAGAGTAATTATAAAAACCAGGATCCTTAAAGGTATCACTGTATATTGATCACTAACAGGAAAACTAAATTAGATTATTTCAAATCAATAATCAATAATCTTATTTTATAAGATCTTTTCAAGTTTTAGTGTTATCGTTAACACTAAATATTATACTGTATTTCGGTGTTTTACCGTTATAAATATCTACCCGTCTGTATAAGAATACATTTGTCAAAAAGCATGATTCTCGTTGGCTCATGATTAATAAACATTTCTTTGTAGCCCCTCTAACCGTGCTGTATAAAACAATCCATTCCGAGAAGTTCCCTATGGGAATATATATATCTATATGTAATTCTTATCTCTTTCAACCATTCCACCATAAAATCACATTAAAGAGAGTATTCATAAATTGCAAACACGAGAGGTGTAGTAAACTTCAAAAAATGTTACACTCCTCTCGCCCTGACTGCTTTATAATGTCACACTCTTCTTAACCTGACTGGTTTATAATGTCACACTTTTCTTGACCTGACTAGTTTATAGTATCACACTTTTCTCACCCTAACTACTTTATAAAGCCACACTCTTCTTGACCTGACTAGTTTATGGTGTCACACTCTTCTAGCCCTGACTAGTTTATAATGCCACACTTTTCTACCCTGGCTATAATTTCTAATGTGACACTCTTTTTGACCTGACTAGTTTATGGTGTCATACTCTTCTTGACTTCCCTAGTTTCTTATGTTACAGTCTTCTTGACCTGACTAGTTTCTAATGCCATACTCTTCTCGTCCTGACTAGTTTCTAATGCCACACTCTTCTCGCCCTGACTTGTTTATAATGCCACACTTTTCTACCCTGGCTATAATTTCTAATGTGACACTCTTCTTGTCCTGACTAGTTTATGGTGTCATACTCTTCTTGACTTCACTAGTTTCTTATGTTACAGTCTTCTTGTCCTGACTAGTTTCTAATGCCATACTCTTCTCGTCCTGACTAGTTTCTAATGCCATAATCTTCTCGCCCATGACTAGTTTCTAATGCCACACTCTTCTTGCCCTGACTTGTTTATAATGCCACACTTTTCTACATTGGCTATAATTTCTAATGTGATACTCTTCTTGTCCTGACTAGTTTCTAAGATGGGTACACTATTGTTTGATTTCTTTCAGGAAATTCCAACCATTATGAATGAAAAAACAAAAATTACACAATCTCAATTAAAGCTTCTTGATATACCACATTGACTGTTGTTCCTTCTTCCGACAATATAAACATGTTTTGATGAGATCCAACATTACTGGTGAATCAGCCTTTAATTTCAGAATTTGTCTTGTCATCCCTGGAGGTTCAAGAAAATTCAGGAATTCAGTTGGGTAACCTACACTGCAATGCTGACAATTGGTCTGTAGATGCATTCCTGTCCGGGTACCTTTTCCAGTAATTGATGTATGTAAGCCAGAGATCAGGGCCGGTGTTGGTAGGTTGACACCACTTGTCAAGTGCCGTTGTTTCAAAAACATGCATAAATATTACGGCATAAATAACAGCGACTCTATTATCCATTGAGACACCACTGAGTTGTAGATATAGTTTGTTGTCAAGACAAAAATGTCCATTGTGAAGGATAAAACTTAAGATTTCTCTGACAGTGTCTATTGTCAGCAGGAAAGGAAATGAGTTTTAGGAACTAAATACACGCTTTGAAGGAGCAGTGGGATCATTGGTATAAAAAACAAACAGAAAAGACAGGAAGTTATTTTTTATATTCTAGCTTGTCAATATCAATAATTTGACTTTCTAATTCATAAGAAACTTTAGACTTTGTATTTTGACATCACAAACATATAATTTGAACCAATGCTGCATTCAACATATCACGTGACACACAAAAATCAATATTTATGTGTGTTCTTTTAATATTTACTTTTAACTAATGTATAATACAAAAATTTGAATAATAATCTACATTCTACAATTTAATACCAAACGTATTAACATAAATTCATAAAATAGTTCAATAAAATTTTGAATGCAAGTCAACAAACGCGATAACATGGCCTGTGACCTGTGACGATATGATTAATAAACATCTTCAGTAGTACTAAACTTGACCAATGGGAAAAATAATACAAACTGAGAACTAGGTACACGGCGTATACCCGCGTGTACCCCCATTTCCATCACTGATTGTCAGTCCGTACATCTCCAAATTGTTTACGTGATTCGACATGAATTCATACACTGCATTGACGCCATCTTCTGTTTTTATAGATGGGTACA